AGGTTCTTGGGCACGTTGGAAGCCGATCTTTGGCACGCGGAGGCCGTTCGCGCTCCGCTGCTTCATGAAAAAATGCACGTGCTAGTATGCACCCTGCTTGAAAGCTTTCGTCCCCCCCCGCGGGCGCAAGTTCGGCCCCTGCGTCAGGGTTCAAGTCAGGGGTGAACTGTGACAGCAACTTCCTCTGAGCTTTTGCAGCTGAATATTTGTGAGCTTTCCAGGCCTCATGGTTCGCGGTATAAAGTGGGTTTCGGGTTAAGGGTTGGGTGTAATGAAGGACCCCAAATAATGGCCAATATCATTCCACCTGAAATCTTTACGTATTTGCCATATGGTGCGCACCCAACCCCGAGTCTAATTGTTTCGGTTCTGGAGTCACAGCTTGGGCCCTAAACCCTAAACCCTTACTTGTTTGCCAGGTCCTAAGTGTGGGCACCTAATTTGGCTTGTAAACTTTAAGCCTTCAGGGTATATCTTCAAACCCTAAGAACGCAAACCCCAACTGGGTAGGCAGGGCTTTATAGGGAAAGTCCGTAGGCTTTTCAACGTAGTTGGGGGTGTGGGGCTTTCAAGAATCAATTCCAGCCGTTAAAGCAAAATCCTAGTGAAGATCACTCAAGTAATTTGTACCTAGACTCGGTGTTGACCTGAACTTTGGCTCAAGGAAAAAGGGACACCGCAAGCTGTGTTCTTCCTTGTCCAAGTATTCTTCTTGTAATTAACTATTCCCAAATTAACACGGGAGCCCAATAAGGGGCCCGATATAGACTACTGTCCATTTAAACAAGGGCCATCTGGGGTTCCACGGTGGTTTGCGGGAGGGTAAATAGACCTACGGGAGTGTCTTGAAGTGTCTGCAGAGCTGAGGAATTAGAGATCAGCGTAACTGCTGTGTTCGTCCATGCGGTGACGCTGAGACTACTTACAGAGATTCAGGTGTTTGAACGGGTTAACGCGTGTAGGGTGTAGTTGAAAAGGTGGACCCGGGTTTTTGGAAAGTCCTGTGCCTCTCATTTTGGCAAAGTTCATTTTCCCCCGCAGCCGCTCCTGCCAGTGCCAGATCCATGAACGCCTTCTGGTTTCCTTGGGGTTATTGGTTGCAGTCACTCACTTGAGCAACTTGAGAGCATGTTCCCTAAGATTCCATCTCCAGCTTCAGGCATAAGCTCGCCCGAACCTAACAAACTGGGCCTCCCTACAGCTAGAAATGTCAATGCACCCTTGCTGGGTTTCATGGTACTTACCGGGGGATCTCGAGTAGGGGCACTACAGTGCTGACCTGAGAAATTGCTACCTCTGGCCTAACCACAAACCATAAAGCCCATCAGTTGAACGCTAAACGCCTAAACCCTAAACCCTGACCCTAGACCCTAGACCTTAAACGCTAAACTCTTCAGCCCCAAAACGAAATCAGGAACCCTTTTGGAATGGCCCATTTCCGGCGCTTCAACGAGCATAACGTGGATCTGAACCGCAACTGCCTCTTCCCAGAGGACTTTCAGAGACGCTTTGTTGACACCAAGTCCCGCATAGTTTGACTGGGGTGCCTAGAGGATTTAGGGTTTAGGATGTAGTGGAGGAGCGGATCCTGATAACAATCCACATATAGTCCCCTTTAATGGTAGGTGTATTCACTCCCCCACTCCCCATTTAGCACCGGTCGGTAGTTTGAATAGGTACTGGACTGATGCTGTGATGTAGTTCGTTTCGGGTTGAGAGTTTTTCGGGCGGATGATCCTGCGAGATACTGACACCGAGAGGGGTTTGAAAATTGGTTTAAAGGTTCGCAGGCTTTCGAGTTTGTCGTCCTGTGGCAGATGCAAGTAGAACTAGCATGAACTAGCATACATTGAGTTTTTTGTCGTACCTCTTGCATGGGAGCTATTGAACTCACTTTTCCACATTTCGTGAGGCTGAGTAATCCACGCTTCAGCTCGATAGAGCAAGAATAGAGTCCTGGGGCATCATGTCCTAAGGAAGACGCTCCCTAAGCCCAAACCTGAAAGCCTCCTGGAAATGGGCACTCTCAGGATTGCAGACAGAAGACAAGATTGTGCTTGGGCACGGTTGGAAGTCTCTTCCTTGTTCTTGGAGTTTTATGGTTCACGTGGTTTAGGACGAAAAAGGTTTGGGGCCTCAGGTGTTGGGAGCTGGAGAAGTCTATGGCCAGGGTTGAAGGGTTTGCCTTGTTCCATCCATTTAGGGTATATGGGGGTTTCCCAAAATTCGGGGTACCTACTATAATGGAGAATCAAATGGAAAAGAAAATGGAAAATGAAATGGAAACTGGGATTGTTTGCAGCGTTTGGCAGTTTCGCACTCCATCTAGGAAGCCTGAGTTGTGCTTGATGCGCTACCCAGGATCCGAGGCCCTAGCCTACCATAACCCTAAACTGTGTGCCTTGACCCCCAAAGGTTGCTATGGGCTTGAATTGGGATAATGGAACATAACATGGAAACTACTGTCATTTATATCCCAATCATGGAGAAGCAGTGAAAATGAAAAATGAAATGGAAACTGGGACTATATAATCTCGTGTGGAAGTTTGGGAAAGATGCTCGGCCCATCCCGTCATTTTGGTCCCTCCATGTTGGAACGCCCTGCAGGCAACGATGTACGCCTGCTTCGACCCTGTCTTTAACCCGACGGAGCCCCCGGGCTGGTTCTACCGAAATGCCCGGCATCCCAAATTCAGCAGTTTTTTTTATTGTATAGACTCCCGAGTGCGGACCCCTAGGGTTGCTAAGGCCCACCTATGGGACAAGCCTCAGGGTGTAGGGTTAACGTCCAGGTTTTATGGCTCAAGGCCTTGGGGTGCTTCTTAGGGTTCATGCCACTTTTTTGGAGCTGGTGCGAGCTGGGGAGTGCAGTTTACCATGTTGAGAGGAGGGTCCAGCTATATGCTGGCGGTAGATTCTAGGGTTGTGTATGAAAGGGAGCTTGGGTCATAATCTCTACCAGGAAGTGGAGTCTTTGTCTGCTCCTTTTGTGATGTTGACTGCGCAGCTAATTCTTTCCCCAACTATGAACTCCTGCCCCTCAGAAACCACGTGTTGATACTCAATGGTTTTTTGGACGGTTGGCGATGAGCGTTCTTTGGAAACGCAGGAGCCCTGCAAAGGCTTCATAAGAGCACGCAGCATCTTTAGCTTGAGTATTGTCCCCGACTACAAGTTAAATAATGGTTTATTATGATTATGAATGTACAAAGCTCCCTATCATTAATTACCTTTGTGAGGATTGCTGCTGGGTAGGGGCAGCACCCTTTAAACCCTGAACCCTAAAACTTTGAACGACACCTCAAAGTCCAAAATGCTCAGGTAGGTATTTGGGGTCATATGGCTGCCTACGTTGCCACATATGGCTACGGCTACATCAAGACAGCACTCGTTGGAGGAACTTACACCAAGGAGCCCGGAAGGTGGGTGTCGCCATTGCATGTAAGTCTCAACCCCTCCTTTAATCTCACGCGACCTCATCCCAAATAGCAGTTTACATAGGAAAGTTCCAAATTGGCTTAATTTCAGGTTCTGATAGTGACTACAAAATGGGCAATGTTAGGTATTTCCCATCACATGGGAGTGGGGGATCCAGTGTTTTGGTCAGCCAGGGTTCTGGGCCTTTTTGTCTAGGTCATTGCAAGCACAGGGACAGCAACGGTCGCATGCAGAATGAGTGGGAAAGTAAACGGCAAATAAGGAAATAGAAGGTAACACAAATCCACAACATACATCAAACTCAATCGTGGTGTCTTCCTTTGCATCTTCATCATCACTCCATAGATGCGACACCGGGAATCCTCAACCCTGAGCTCCGAACCTTACTTACAGCGCAAACACAAACAAAAAACATGACAAGCCGATACTCCCACAAACTCTGCGAAACTTGAGAATCCTCATACAGAAAGAAGCTTCTTCCAAGAGTGAAGAGACTATTGGTCCACATGTCAAGTACATGCTCCCATTTTTTCAGTTTGGAGCACCCAGAAAAGGTTTTGCCACTTCTTACAACTTCTGTAGCTAAAGACCTTAAATCCTGAACCCTAAACTTGCATCAACACACCTTACTCCCCACACCGTGCGGCTCTCTAACTGCAGGAGCAGGGCCTCTTCTACGGTGGTCGTCAGCTGGAGCCTTCCCATGTCCTGCTGCGGGATTTCTTCAAAGAACAACTTGGCAAGGTGAGCCGGCTGCAATTACATCTAAACCCCTTGAAGCGCGGATTTGGGTTCAGGGTTTAAGGTCTAAACTCCTTATATTGAAGGGGGTTATGTAGTTATATATAGGGGATGATCAAGGGGAGTAGTATAAGGGGTTAGAAAGGTGGAAGTATGGAGACTGTCAGTATTAGGGTTTCCAAAGGACAACTACGGATGGAAGGAGGCGTCCCTTTGGTCGTCAGTCTAGTCCCCTTAATATATTCCTGAACTGGAACCCATGTCCATTAATCTTGTGAAAAGTATTGATTCATCTGTGAGGACAACAGTTGATGTCAAATGTGAAATTGTGTGAGAGGGGCAATCAGTTGGACGGGCATGGTGTTGCCATCATGAAGCACAATCTTTGGGAGAATCTTGCGAGGCTTGGGATCTCATGAAGTTATGGGTTGGTGTAGGTTTACTGGATTCTAAATGATATTTTGTTTAGATGCTGTTGCCCGCCGAAAAATAAGAATGTAAAGACAGGATAAAAAGACAAGACGGTAATCCGCAACGATGCAAAGAGCATGTTGCGTGAGGACAAAGAATAAGGACAGATTTTGTATATGCAGTCACCCACCGAAATAAGAAGTATAATGTAAAGGAAAGGAGACGAAGATAAAACGATAATCGGCGACGAAGCAAAGAACGTCCGCGCATGCCTGGAATTTGTGACCGTTGAGATCGCAGCAGATTTTGCCCATGCATTTTTCCAAAATTCACTGGACAACATGTTGCCTGATCTGCGCGGCCGTCCTTTCTGAACAAGCAAGGCGGGCAGATCACGCCAGATTTTGCCCCTGCATTTTTCCCAAAGTCAGTGGACAAAATCTGGTGTGATCTGCGCGGCTGTCTTTTCGGAAACAGCAAGGCACGCAGATCACATCAGATTTTGCCCTTGCATTTTCCCAAAGTCAGTGGACAAAATCTGGTGTGATCTGCGCGGCTGTCCTTTTGTGAAAACGCAAGGCGCGCAGATTACACCAGGTTTCAACGCGCCAGCGTTCCCACCCCTCGAAAACAACAAGAGGGTCGTCGATTCCGAACAGAATTCGAAGGACGTTCCAGGCGCCAGCGCTCCCACCCGCCGAAAACAGCGAAAGGGGCGTCGATTCCAAACAGAATTCGCAGGACGCTCCATGCGCCAGCGTTCCCACGCGCCCAAAACAGCGAGAAGATCGTCGATTCCAAGCAGAATTCGCAGGACACTCCGCGCGCCAGCACATTTTGCTATGAAAATCGACGATTTTGGAAGCGTCCGGAAGATTACTATTAAAGGCGATTCGATGGCGATTTGAAAATCGGATGATATTTGTATTGAAAATCGACGACTTTTGAGGCTCCGGAAGACTATTTCGAGGCGATTTGAGAAAATTCTGGGCGCAACCGAAATGTTGCAGGATAGCTCTGGAAGTTACTTTACAGGCGATTCGATGATCTTTTTCTTCAACATCAACGATTTCGGGAGGGTCCGGAAGACTACTTTAAAGGGTATTTGAGTCGATTTGGGGGCGCGACCGAAATTTCGCAGGATAGGTCTCGAAGATTGCTTCAAAGACGATTTAAAAATCGGAGGATCTTCTTATTGAAAACCAACGATTTTTTGAGGCTCCGGAAGACTGCCTTAAAGGCAATTTGAGAAAATTGTGGGCATGACCGACCTGTCGCAGGATAGGTTTGGAAGACTACTTTAAAGACGATTTGAAAATCGGATGATCTTCTTATTGAACAACGACGCTCTTTCGAGGTTCCGGAAGGCTACTCTAAAGCCGATAAAAAATGCGACCGACATGCGCGCGACGGAAGAAGAGTCGCATAGCCGGCGAGCGACAGCATCAAACAACTAGAGCCCCACAAGAATGTCGGGAATAAAGATTTCGTATAGCTGCGCAGCATGCCATGGCCTTGCACATAAAACTCCAACAGAGTATAGTTTAGTGGTGAATAATGTGTAGTTCATCCTTGCGCCCCAGGCCTCAAGCCTTCAAACTGTGTACCCTAAACCCGGAGCCCCTAAACCCTAAACCCTGAAACTTCAACCAGGTGCAAGAGCGTTGCAAGGTAAGGATGTTTTGCCCACCGAAAGCCCAACAGTGGCTTGACTTTGTCCAAGGGGAAAAAATAAATCCAAAGCCTGATGGTGCCTGATGCTTCCTGTAAATCTTCAAGCCCAAGTTTTAGGGTTTGGGTTTAGGGTTTGGGGTTTGGGTTTAGGGTTCAGGGCTTAGGGTTAAATTTATTGTCTGTATTGCATTCGCATCTGCTGCTCTGATTTTCGAAGCCATCAACATTGACACAATAGTACTTATTCACCTGGTCTCGCATGACTCCGTGGTGCTTAGCATGGAATGGGGGAATGGATCGCAGGGCCTCTTACAGAGGCCACTGCAAGGATGTAGGGATCCGTTCTCTCATCCGCAACTAAGCAACAGATAGATGCCCTTCCCAGCCCTAACCTGGGTTGCTGTTAAGGAACTTAAATTAGGTTACCATAATGGGTATATATAGTAAATAGGGTTTCCCGCAATATAGTAACTTCAATTAAGTTCCTTAACAGCAAAGTTTCATGCCGTCTTCTAATATCTGCAGGTGCCAGCGCAGGAGATTGCATGGGTGGATGTCCATACTGGGCTTGGACCACCAGGCGTGTTCCTGAAGAACACCCATCCGCCTGAGCAAAAATAGCAAAAAGGGTCAGCTGCCAGAACAGTTTGGAGAACTTTGTCCGAGCCTTCGCAGATTCTTTATTGTTCCGTTGCAGGGGCCAGTAGAGGTAACAATGGACGTTCTGGGAACAAAGCCTAAATGGCCACTTGGAAGTTCAGGTCTGCCTTTTGAGGGTAAAGCTACAGCAGCAACACCCCCAAACAATATTTCACAGGTCCAAAATTGAGAATCCCTGTTCTGGTGTAGCTGCCATCTACTCGAAGAGTGGAGGGGTAGAGATTTTGGGCGAAGACCTTGTTGCAAGCAAGAACATGGATTGCAATAGGCGTAGGCCATACCATGTTTTCTCCAAGTAGCCCTGATCTTACTCGGTTCACTGAAGCCACAAAACTGTAGGCCCCAAGAGGCCTTTGTCAAGCCCAGAAGGCATCAGCAAGCTTTCAAAACGCTGTACAAAGTCACCACACCTGAAAGCCCCAAACATTCAACCACAGACCCAAAACCAAAACACTAAATCCAAACCCTCCAAGATTACGCCCTGAAGCAGTTTGCCGTAGGCGTAGATGTGCTTTTGGGCAGTGGGCTAGACAAGCAGCAAATGGAAGTGCCTGGGCAGCATTGCTTGCTGGGAATGGCATTCACCCTGAACCATCATCCTGGAAATGGGTAGGGTTTGGGTTCAGAGTCCAGGGAGTTTCTCAGAATTACTAGTGTGGAATCCGCAGTACAGGCCCCCATGCTTCGGTTGTGATACTCGCGTATGCCTAGGGTCCTTCAAGGCCCCGCCATTTCAGAAACATTTGGGTTTAGGATTGCTCTCTTCGGCACAGCGGTCCATGGTTTTTAGGTTTTGGGTTTGGGGCTTAGTGTCTAGGGCGTACTTCACGGTTGAAGTGCCGTGGGTTTCTGAGCTAGTATACGCCTACAAAAGGTGCTGGTGTATTCCAGAACAGCAAGAACAGAGACGTTAGGTGAAAGAAAGCCAGGTACAGAAAACCCAAGTCATCATCAGGTGATATCCCTTATTCCCCTTTAGTTGCGATTGCAGATAACGCTTGTTTGTGTTTTGCGATGTGCTTACTTAGTGTTTCCTATCTAATATAGACCCATGACTAGTAACCCCCCTCCTTGTAAGAGCCTTAATATGCGGATCCCTATTATAACCCCTATACAGGGGAGGGGGTTTTATTAAGGGGGGGTCTGGGTTAGGTTTAGTGTTTGCATCCCACAGTCTTCATCTTCAGATTGCCGCTTTCTGTTCTGAGCCCTCAAGCCCAGAAGCTCCACGTTTCCTAGCACATGCCCCAAGGCTAAAGTCAAAACCAAGTTCCTGTGCCATCCTGAAAACACATTTATACTCTTCTGTAACCCCTCATGCTGTATCTTCATATGAGCCATTGTCTAAACTCCTAGTCTCCCCTTAATTACTCCTATAATAAGGAGTTTAGACTATAGCTCATATGCCCTAGCTTTACATGCCGTGAACCCTCTGGATCAAGGCTATCTTTCCAAAAGTCGAGGGTGAGTTCGACGGATGTCAGTGTCGCTGGGCCTTTTAAGAGCCGCAAGATGCACCCGTTGGGGTAATATTAGGGGTTAAATTGGGGCTATTCAGGGATAATGGAAAAGAAAATGGAAACCCTAAACCCTAAACCCTATTTAGAGTTTAGGGCTTAGTGTTCAGGCTGAATACCTTGTACATACCCAAGGGCCCCCTCGCCCCAGCCAATCAGAAATTTTCTTTCCATAGCCCGTCTGTTGTTGCTTCAAAAACCTAAATTCTGAATCTCCAAATCCAGAGTAGAAGGCTCACGGCGCTACTGTTCTCCGTTTTTCAAAAGAGTGTGTGAGATGTAGGTAAGATCTATTCGGTTCTCAATGCTTGTATCTTGTCTGCTTCCAAAAGGCTAAAGACTACAGCATAATCTCTCTGCTGTGTATAAATCGCCATATAGTATGTAACCACCCTATAGTAGTTTCCATTTTCTTCACCAGTATCCTATATAAATCCTATATAATCCTTATTCTTTCCCTGGATCATAACACGAAGCTACTTACAAGGAACACGGTGCGAGCTAAACTTCCGATTTCCGTTTCTTGTCAAAGCCTTAAGCCTTTAAGTAGATAGAATACGGGGTACATGGGAATCTTATCACAGGGTTTAGGGATTAGGGGTTAGGGTAACATACCCCAAGCCATATTCCCTCTGCTTAAGGGGGACCTCAAGCCCGTAAGCTTCCGGCCCCAAGAGTCTTACATAACCTTATACCGTCAACCTTCCAATCCCAGACCCTACAACCTCATACCTTAAACCCTGAAGCCTAAGCCCTTAACCCGAAAGCCTAAACCCTAAACCCTTAAACCCTAAACCCTTAAACCCTAAAACCTAAACCCTTAAACCCTAAACCCTGAAACCGAAAACCCTTAAACCCGAGATACCAAGCCCAGGTGAGGCCTTTGGCGTCCGTGGTGTGGACCGCCGATGTGGACAAGGAGTGGTGGGGGGTGATCCTTACCCGAGGAGAGCTCTGAAGCCTAGGGGTTATAAGGGGTTATACGGGGTTATACAGGGGTTATATGGGGTTATATAGGTTGTATAGGGTTATATAGGGATAATGAGGGGTCATGGGGTTTAGGGGTGATAGGTACATTTGGCGACCATGGAGAATAACATAGAAGCTACTATATAGGGTTTAGGGTTTGCACTTGACGGCCATAGGGTTATATAGGGTTGTATAGGGATCAGGTAATGAGAACATGGAAGCTACCATGTGGGGTTTAAGGTTTAGGGTTTAGGGATATTACCCCGACAAGGGAGAATCAGAAGGAAAAGAAGATGGAACATGCAAGAGTACCAGTGAGTTTTGAAAGACGATTTCTTCATTCAATGACCCCGCCGAAATAGAGCGTACCAAAAAAGTTTCAAATAGAAGTATCAATCCCTAACACTCCTTCAGCAGTCCCCATGCCTCCGGAGTGTGTCCTCTTTGAGAGAAAGGGGTGGGGACTGTTAAAGAGGGGTTGCAGAGGTTTAGGATCTGCTGCGCGCGAGAAAAGATTACTACCAAGCTGAGGGTATAGGGACTATATTTGGGTTAGAAAGGGATATAGAGGAGGGGTTATATAGGGGTTATATAGGGGTTATATATAATTTATATAGGGGTTATATAGGGGTTATACGGTGGTTTAGGGTTTAAGGTTCAGACTGGCCCCTTGCAAATGGCTTTCTCAACTCGCATCTACACGGGAATCCCCAATCCAAATCGCCTAACGGCCAAATGGTAAGCGAAACCCCAAATGTACCCTCAGTGTTTTTTATTTACCCAAGCGGTCATAAAGCCTGTGTAGGGTCATGTAGGGATAATGGAAAAGAAGACGGAAACTACAATTTGGGGTAAGCCCAAAACTTTAAACCCTACACCTTAAACAAATCAGAAGCCAAACCGTCAGGGGAAAAAATCCAGGCGTGATCTTGTAAGGCCGTTATGATACTCATCCATGGTGGTAACTCGCCTGCCTAGGGTTTAGGGTTTAGGGTTGAGGGTTTAGGGTTTAAACCCTAAACCCTAAAAACCGTGCACCCTGCGCCCTAAACTCTACGACCCAAGCCGCGGTTAGGAGAGCTGGAAGTGAACAACGCTAAGTTCTCCTCATCGCAGTCCGCTGGTTATGAGTACACTGTGCCACGGCCGGCTGATTCTGACTTAGAGGTGGTTAGTAGGGAATATGGGATTACAATCCCATATACTTCCTAAATAACTTATTCCCTTATTCCCTACACCCAAAACCCTCAACCCCATCAACCCCTAGTAAGCTCAAGTGAGGAAGGTTTTCAATTCTGGATTGAGACATGGCCTGCCAGGCAAAATACATGCCAAACAGCAAGTCTTCCGACTTGAAGTTCATGGGTCGCTAGGTTAGCATGTATGTGTATATATGGTAGTTTCCCTCAATAAGGGGACCCCAATATAGACCCCAAAATACTATAGTCCTTCTTATTATAGGAACCCCCAAAATGGTACCGCTGTATTTTGGTATCATTTTGCGCTCTTCCTGCCATCAGGAAAAGCTCCGGTTCCGGGATGTCAGGTTTAGTTGACTTGAGGCAAGATTGTTTTTCACAAGCCAGGAACAGTTCAATCCAAGTAGTACGCAATATCAGGCTTTCACTGCACAACCCTAACAAAACTGCTTCCTGTCTTATTACATGTAGTTTCTGACGAGTTTCTGGATGCTGACGCATATGGATCCATTCAGCAGGATAGTTTGTGGATGCTTTTGTAACACCAGCCCTCCTCAATCCCAACCCCCAACCTTAAACCCCACTCTTAGGGCCCTAAAACTCTTTGCAAACCTCGGGAATTTTTTAGCGGAGTGAGGGGGAGAGGAGAAAAATCAGCCCCAGGTCGGCGCATTGTCTGGAGATTGGGTGACCGAGTGGTTCCCAAAGGGTTCCGGAAAGGTGCTGCTGGTTCAGCAAGAGTTCGGAACCCTCGCCTCCCTGAGTGTGGCAAGAGCCTTGATGCTGGAGAACACTGGCTTCCATTATGACAGGGGCAATCATGATTTCTGGCGGACCTTCACGTGCCTTGGCAAGATACCTATAGCGCCTTTGTCCATGGCACTCTGCTGGGCAACGTAGCTGCACTACCTCTCGCTCCGAGAAGCCTTAACCTTGTACTCAAATCTTGTGTACGTATATTATATATATATGTATATATGAGCCAGGAACCTTCAGGGTTTATTTGCCGTTTCCATTTGCAGTAGATGTTGGAAGTTATCCAGCAATGTGCGATATGAGTTCGTATCTTCAGATCTTCATCATGATAGTTGTATGATTCAGTTGCAGAGGATACAGTGGGACCCAACTGTTCAGAGATACGTTTTGGAGTTTGAAGGGGCTTGGGAATCAGATCAGGGCGCGTTTGCCGGGATTGGCGCCAATGAAGCTTTGTTGCGGGACGCTTTGGGCAGCAGATTCTGAGTCACGTTGCGTCACTGGTACTTTCGTCTAGAGTCTTGTGTGGGCCCACAAAACCGAAACCCTAAGCCATGCTCTACCTGAATGGAAATTAAAAGTGCACTCAGTCCTGTAATGGATCTGAATAGTTGGTTTTCATCCACGTGCACACTCGGCCCTGGTTGCAACATGCTTCCCTACTCGACGTCGTTTTGATGGTCATTTTGGGGCAATTTACCTGCTGAGGCAAGATGCCTTCTACGTGAGGACAGACGTCTGGAAAGAGAAAGTCCTCCGACGCGGCATGGATGTGTTCCAGAAGATGGCGAAGATGCTGTCATCGTGAGAGCTGTAACCGCTAGCGCGCGTTCACCCTGACAGGCTTGCATTCTTGGGAGCTGCTGGAGCTTGTTTTCAGGCTTCAAAGGCAGCAGTCTTGTTTCTCAGGTGAGCCTGGGTGTTTCCACCAGGCCTCCACGTCGATGAACAAGCATAGTTTCAAGGACAAGGCGGTGATCAATTGACCTGCCCTATTGGTTTGAAACCGGCTTGCCATTACAAAGCCGCTCTTGCAGCGCCTGCTGCGCAGACCTGCCGCTTGCAGTCGGTCCGAAGCACATGTTTCCGAACGGTTGCGGCAAGAAGCTATATAAATGCCAGCAAGACCTTTCAAAGGGCAGCACCTTTCATGGGGATGACATCGTCCTTTTGGGATCGTATTCCAGCAGATTGAGTTGATCTTGCCTGGCTCAGCTACCAAAAAACAGTCCCCGAAGAGGTAATTTGAAATCACTAATATCAGCATCCTTGGAAGCCCTGAGGCCCGCGGTGGAGCTCAACCAAAGCCGGCAGCCCAGCCTTTGGGTTCAGGGTTTACTCTACGGAGCCCTGAATTCTAGTGTCATATATTGAAGAAAGCGGACGCATCCTTAAAATGGGAGGTTCGACAGGGTGCAGGGTTTGGGGTTCAGGGAGGAGTTCAAAGTTCAGTGCACTGCTGCTACAGAATAGTTCACTAATCTTCGGCAATCCTCTTTCCAGACAAAGGTGTGGTTTCCATTCCATGCGAGCAATTCTCAAATAGTCTGCCCTACATATCCGGAATTCCCGGATTGCAGTCGAAACTTGGTCCTGTAGAATCTGAGGAGGATCCAAATCAATCACCCCAAACAGGACTTGGCAGTTAGCTCCTTAAGCCGAATACATGCATTGTCCCTACGGACATTTTCTTTCTCGTTTTGCGGGATCTCAATAAACGGCAGTCTCACGCGAAATGCTTGGTATCTATGGGGATAATCTTGGGCTTGTAGGGAACCCTGCCTGTAAGGATTGTGTTGTCATGCAGAAGATGCCCCATTTCGTATCATGGAACCTCTGTGCAGTACTCTTTGTTGCCTACGTGTTGTAGCACCTCGTGGCTTGAGCTGGCTATTTCCAGATAATAGCAATTACAGCACTGGTTGTGGATGACACTGGTATCATGAAATCGCAGAAGCCTTTTGTGCAGCAGCTTCTGCTGCAAGTACGTGTGTACTTCCGGTAGTACAAGTGCTCTTGGAAGTACCATTTGTAGAACTTTATCCAACATCATCGTCCTGAAGCGTGTTGAAGCTTGCTTGCGCTACTAAGTTCGGCGAAGGGTCGAGGAAAAGGTGGCCGGGGCGCGACCAATACGAATGGCAGAACATGGTCCGGGTCAGTGGGACACCAAGATCTCTGTGCTGTTTTTGTGTAATGGCGTTCAGCCGGTCTAGGTGGGCTTCAGGGTTTTGTGTTATCTGAGCCCTGAACACCAAATCTTCAGAGATTCAGAGATCAACCCTAGACCTTTCTGGTTGTCGTCTTGAAGCTTATGTGGAACTCCCAGCGGCACAGTTTTTGAATTGAGCAAGCTTGTTTGCATAGCTTGATTTACGGATGATACCTGTTGTCACATTTTCTATGGGTTTGGTGGCTTCCCGGTCCCTGAGCTTGCTACGAGACGTGCACATCCGATGAAGATGAAGCACGTCCCTGTTGGTTCAATGTCATTGAAGCTCCATACTTCAGGTTGCATGCCACTAAGGTGTTGTCCGAAGTAAGACGGAGTTCTCAAGTCGTCTTCTATGGACAGCCTCACAGGAACCTCCAGAATTTCTTTGCATCCCTTGATCCTGGACCCCTTAGCGCAAGGCAAACATGTATTCAATCTTGGGTCGGGCCCCCACCTAGCGGTATACTAGGAATACGTGGGGACCTCAATATCATAACCCTTATCCCTTGTGGTCACCGGGGCCCAGCCTGAATACAACCTGTTTACAGACGCCAGGGCACGCTACAAGGCGCCTGTAGCCCACAGACTTCATATTCATAATAGGGTAATTATAGGGGATATATAGGGATAATAGGGAATATATTGGGGTTATGGGATAATGGAAAAGAAAATGGAAACTATTATTTAGGTTGCCAAAATTGTGGTTCTTGATCCTGCCCTACACCCTAAAACCTGAAGGCGGCGTTGTACGGTGGATGCAAAAAACTTGTAATTTGGACATGTCACATAGAAACTCGCCTTTGCGCCCTTCAAGAGTCCGGTGTAAGGGTTGGGGTTTAGGGTGTACCATGTACTGGCCGCAGATTTCAGCGAGAATTATCGTATATAATTCCCTCCCCCATCATTTGACCTCCCCACCTCTTGATAATGACCGTTTTATTCTTCTACAGCAGTACTGCACTAGGAATCTGGATTGTAAGGGTGCGGGGCTTGTTTGTTTTTGTAGGAGTGCAATACAGAAATCCTCGAAAACCAGCGTGAACCCTAAACCCTAGACCCTCAAGCCCACATAGACTCAGCATTACTTTGGGTTCCCAAATTTCCTCAATCTCCTAATTTCAAACTTTTAAGCTCAAAATGATAAACCCTAAACCCTAAACCTGAACCTTAACCCCTAAAGCCTGAGCCCACGGCTTGGTGAGGCATCAGAGGGATCTCAGCCTTTAGCCTCAGAGAACTGGCACGGGTCGTGCTTTCAAATGGAGTTCAGGGTATATGGGGCTTAGGGATATTATCTAAGAATGGAGAATCAATTCAAAAGAATATGGAATATAACCGGAAATTTGGAATATAAAGTCGATTATAGGGTATAGGGTGTAATAGTGCCACAGTGGATGGAAGAATTCTTGTCCTACTTAGCACTCCATACCTTATTAATTTGTGGGTAATAACGGTGGTGCAAAATTTCTTTCATCCACAGTAGGTGTCAGCAACGTAATTGAAAGTAGTATGGTATGTTGCCAAAGTTGTGGAAGGAAAGGGATCATGATTTGAAGCTACCGTATGGGATTCTCAAAATAACCCCTACATAATCACTGGAGGGAGAAGGGGGGATGCCATGGAGGGGGCAGAACGCACAGCTCACATCCCTGGACCGTAGGACCACCCATTTTAGCAAACTCCCATACTTCAAGATGGTTGAGTTTCTGCAGAGGAGCCGTCTAGTTCCTTTGTAGTGACAGTTGCTTGGGGCAGTATCAAAGGCGGGTGAACATCTTACAGCCTTACCAGCAGTGTCCGAACGTTGCGCCAACATGTGACAATTGTCATGCCACATAACTGGGCCAGCGTGGTAGTCTGCCACTGATTAGTGAGACCGCCGCGCGTTACAGCTTGGGTTTTCTGTGTTCAAGGTGGAGCCATGCGGGTGTCACTTTAACTTCATACGTGGAATGTTTAGGTCCCTCGCGGAGCAGCGACCTTATCATTGTGTTCCTTTTTGTTTGTTAAGCTTTAGCGTTCGAAGGCATGGCTAAGGCTTTGAGAGATGAACATTATGTCTTCTTTATGGTTCTTAGATGAAGGTGAGAATACCCTGATCTTGATAGCTTCAGAGAGCATAGGATGAATTTAAACTGGCACCCTAAGCGCTATGTTGAGTTCATCCCGCTTATTTACCACTGTGAGACTGCTAACCATGCTAAACTTCACTCCCCCAAAACTTTCCAACCTAGACAAGTCCCATTCCTTCGCCCGAAGCCTTCAAAAAGGGTGGCCCCAAGATGGTATCCCTAACCCCTTGCATCCCTCAAGTTCCAGGAATCTCAGTAGTTCCGGCTCCCGGTGCATTCGCAGTATCCTAACGTGTCTGAGGGTTTAGGGCTACACCCCTATGGTTTGGATGAATGAAGAGGCCCGTACTCTGAGTAGTAGTCTTGCCTCTGTATTTGCAAGCATGCATGGCGTTCTTGTCCCATATGAGCCATAATCTAAACTCCTTAAAGGGGTTTGTATAAGAGATTTTATGGAGAATGATTATAGGGGTTATAAAGGGGGATATTCGGAGTCTAGACAGTAGCTCCTATGGTATTCATTCGAAAAGTGTTTGGAACCCTGCAGGCCATCCTCCATGAATCCCAAACCGGGACAGACTTGAAATGTTTGGGTTTAGGGTGTAGGGTTTAGGGTGCAAAACTTATGGGCCCTTTTTGTGGTTCTTTGAAATTTTTCATTGGGGTCTATATTAAAACGCGTCCCAAAGAGAGGCCCCGAGACCCCAAATAATCATTCAGGCCCTTTTGGTAGTTTCTCTACTCAGAAAGACTCCAAGTCCTTACTATAGGGACCCCAGAAAGGTACACCTAATTTTGGGAAATCACCTTTTCAAGTCCTTAACGCCTGTCCATTGAGCATTTGCTGAGGGGCCCGGCCGCTGCTCAAGTGCAGGAAAGCAAGGAGGTAGTGGGGGGGTTTGGGGGTGCAAGCTTTTTGGGATTCAGGGGGGCAATCCCTATTCAATACCCCATTCTACTATATAGTAGCTTCCATTTTCTTTTCCATTATCCCTATGTTCCCTATTATACTCCCTATTATGGGGAAGGGTTGAGGGGAAGTTGAAAGGGTTGGGGGAGGCTCTAGGAGGGCAAGGCATTTTAGGATGGTTTGGTGCATTTTGAGGCGCGGGTGTGGCGCCTTGCGGGTTTCAAGGGGTTCAGGGGGCAAGGGATACAAGAGGCAAAGAGGTGGGGAAAGCTTCGGGTTAAGGGGTCTATGGGCTCATCATGGCTTTCTAAACAGGTTAGAAACCCTAAACTCTAAACCCTTATGGCTGGCTGGAGCATGTCGGGGTTTCTAGAGATTTAGTTGGTTTGAGGCTTTAGCAATTCGAGCGTTGGCGGGCAGTGCTTTAAGAAGGGTCTAGGTCCTGGTTTAAGGTTCGGGGTTGGGGCGTTGTCGAGCCCTTCAATTGTTGGGCCTGCATGGGGATTCGCAGAGTTTCTTGATATTGAGACGTGCAGGGTCAGGGTTCACAGTGTTGGGGACTACAAATAGTCAGTAGTGATATTCTCTTGTAGCTCTCGCGTAACATGCAC